TAATTTTTCATCAAAACAATTCTAAAATATTTCCGAAATTATTAGTCGATTGGTGTACCGTAATCTATTTAGCTTCTTTCGAATACAACCTCCAAGCAAAATACTTAAGAATTTGCTAACAAATTAAATTATAAAAATAAAATTGAGTTACTGCTAGTATGCATTATTATGCAAGAAAAGTTACTGCAATCATTTTTAATGATAAAAGTGAATATCCTATGAAAACAGTAGTTCAAGGTCTTATTAAGAGAACTACTATCTATAGAATTATCAGCTGCTAAGAATAAAGAATTTTTTTCAGATGCAACAACATGTACTTTACAGAGGCGAAAGTAAAAAGTAATGTCATAAAAATTGCAACCATGACAGAATTCCAAAAACAATGTCGTCTTTTGTACGGTTTCTAGAACTAGATGAGTGTGAAGTACAAGAAGACATTGTTTTCACACACCAATCATATTAAGAAAACGTGTTGGATTATCATCCCCTGTTCCTTTTTAAGTAGTTGATGAATCAAATACATTTTTTTTAAATATAATTTGTCTGATTAAACTTATATTAAGTGCAGTGTTATAATTATTTCAGTGATACTTACTATTCAATAATAACTTTAATTCCTATTATAAAAAATATTTCACATGATATAATTTGTTATATCATTACAATTATATTAATTGTACCTTAGGTCATTTACGATTTATAAAAATGATTTTTTTTATGGTCAAAATCTGATGATAAAGTAATTTAAAAATTAATGTATTATCTTCAAAGCATAGCAATTTTTTTTTTTTTTGTCTTTACATCTTCATCCGCACCTGTCATTGTAGTGACAATTAGCAGATTTGCTGTTTAAATTGAAAATGACATGATAGGCATGACGAAGAATGGAGCCCAGCAGCACCTCTTCCCTGGCCTGTTTACATCCTAAAATCAGGAAAGGAGATCTCTCATCCAGCTCCTTTTCAGTCGCCTCCTGATGAGCATTTCAGCCGTGGCCATGTCTTTGATAAGTCCATTGTGATGTCCGTGTAGTTTTAGATGAAATCGGGAGTAAAGAGTACGTATGTGCTGGTCAATGGTTGGTTGTCTTAGGTCGGTATGTAAAGTCTTATTGTTGACGTACCAGGGAGCTGCAGTTATTAGTCTTAAAATTTTAGATTGAAAGGATTGTAGTTTTTGTAAGTGAGTCTTTTTTGCTGAACCGTAAATCTGTGAGGCGTATGTCCAAATGGGTTTGAGCAGGTAAGTGTATGTATTTAGTTTTTGTCTAATTTTCAATTTTGATTTAGAAAACAGTGAGTACAGTATTTTCAGTCGCTTGTTCAAACTCTTTCTTTTCATTTTGACGTGTGGGCCCCAGGTCATCCTTCTGTCAAATATTAGTCCGAGGTAGCGTATACTGTCCGTCTGAGGAATTGGATTGTTGCTGATATAAACTGGTGGGCATGTTTCTCGTCGAAGCGTAAATGTTATGTGTTGTGATTTGTTATGATTTAATCTAATTTTCCAGAGTGAATACCAATTTTGTAAATTTAGTAAATGATTTTGTAAATTTAATGAGGCTAGTCTGGGGTCATGGTGTTTTGTTAAAATTGTTGTATCGTCAGCGTAAGTAGCAGTCAATGTTTCAGAGTTGGTAGGCATGTCATGAGTATAGACAATGTAGAGTAAAGGTGCCAATATTGATCCTTGAGGTACCCCTGCTGATACTGGCCGAATTGAGGAAATTTCTAAACCCTGTCGGACAGAGAAGAATCTGTCGAAAAGGAAAGATTGGAGAATGAGATAATATGTATTAGGCAGTATAGTTTTGAGTTTGAAGAGAAGTCCCTGGTGCCAGACTTTATCAAATGCCTGGGCAACATCCAGAAATACGCCGGTAGCATATTGTTTTTGCTCTAGCGCTCCAGCAATGTAGTCAGTAACTCTGTGTAATTGGTGTGTAGTTGAATGAAATGTACGAAAACCGAATTGATGGTCAGGTATTATTTGTTGGTCTGTCAGTATGTCAACCAGTCTTTTGTATATTAATTTTTCGAAAACTTTGGAGCATATCGGAAGGAGACTGATAGGTCGATAGGATGAGGGATTGAAAATGTCTTTGTCCCTTTTGTGTATCATCTTGATATGTGAGTATTTCCATTGTAATGGGAAGTTAGTTGTCCTCAGAATACAGTTGTATATTGTCGTAAGGAACACTAGAGCTTTCCTAGGCATTTGCTGGAGACCCTCGGCAGTTATTAAGTCATAACCTGGAGCTTTTCTTTTTGGGAGATATCTGATTTGTTGTGCGACTTGTGAAGGAGTGAAAGGAAGAGGGGGAGGTGTCATCTGTAATGGTATGTCTAGCGTATCAAATACTAAGGTTTCATGTTCTGTGTTCGTGAAGTCGGTAAATGGTGTAAATACTGATGAAAGATGGTCTGCAAATAGTTCAGATTTTTCTCTATCCGACAAAGCCCATGAACCGTCTTCGTTTCGCAGGGGTACTGACACCTCTCGATGTTTTAACAAATTTTTGGTATGCTTCCACAAACTTCCATCGTCAGTTGATATGCTGCTCAAATAAGCATCATAATTCGTTCTGTTGAATTTTTGTATTAGTCGTTTAAGTTCGTTATTTAGTCTGTTAAATGTCCTTCTATCTGAGGGAAATCTGTTAGTCTGCCATACCTTACGTGCTCTCCTCTTTGCCGTGATCAAGTCCCTTATATATTGAGGATATCTTGGCAAGTGATCTGCTCTTGATGACCTTGGTAGCGATGAAGACCAAGCTGCTTTTTGGACACTTTTTGTAAATTTGTCCACTGCTTCTTCTAGTTCATCTGCTGTTTTAATGGAGCCAGGGATTGAAAGTTCTGAATCCAGAATTTCCCTATAAGCATCCCAATCCATTTTACCATTAAGGAGCTTAGGTGTTCGTGGAAGATTGATGGGCTCATCAAGGATAACCAAATGTATAAGGGAATGGTCAGAGCAAAGATCAGAGCTCGTATTTATGGTGTAAGGTATGGTGCGCAGTCCTTTGGTTATAAAAAAGTCTAGTAGGTCTGGGGATTTACGTTGTGAAGTCGGCCAATATGTCGATGTATCAGGTGATATAGTGTCTAATGAAAGCTCGTGGATAGCAGCCCTCAGATTTCTTCCTCTTGGTGTGCACAGCCGTGACCCCCAAAATTGGTGCTTTGCCTTAAAGTCACCGCCTACTATAAAGCAACGCCCAAGGCTTCGAAAATAGTTGCAAAACATCGAAGGTGTTAATACGTACCTCGGAGGACAATATACTGAAGCTATTGTTATTGTGTGATGTTTGGTGTGTAGTATTAAGCCTGTGGTTTGAATGTCAGGTGTAGTAGGTAAGTATAAGGGATTATGTGATAATGATGTTTTTATTAGTATTGCTGTACCACCATGAGCTGTGTTGTCCGGATGGTCTGTTCTGTAGGTATTGTAACCAGAAATATGAAATTTAGTTCGTGGTGTAAAGTGTGTTTCTGTTATCATTGCGATGTCAATGCGTTTTTCGTGTAAATATAAGTCCAATTCTGTCCTATGTTGCGTTAGTCCGTTTGCATTCCACAGAAGGATGGACAGGGAGCCTACAATTAGCTGATTAATGGCCATTAGGAAGACACATGCCTTGTGTTATCTGTGAGAGCTGTTGGAGGAGACTAAAAAGGGGCTGAATGAGAGTGTTCAGACCATTCAATAACTGAAATAGTTGTGGAGACATGCAGTTTTCAGCTGAAGGTAGCTGGGTACTTTTTCCCCTCATGGTTGCTGAAGGTTGAATGTTTGGAGGTACTGATGATGGAGGCAGTTCCTGAGCTTGCGGTTGCGTTTGCTTCTGTATTGGCTTCTGCTGTTGTACTGGAGGTTGCTGTTGGGGCTGTTGATGAGGCTTCAGCTTCCGCTTCTGCTCTTGATATGGGCTTTGCGAAGGTTGTGGAAGATCCGGGAAATTACGAAGATTTGCAGATGGAGGTGATTCCCTCTGGTGAGCATGATTCCTCTTGGTCCTCTGTGCCCTTAGATCTCTAAGAGTTCGACACCCCCGATAATTGGCCGGATGTTCGCCTAGACAATTAGCGCATTTAGCTGGAGTTTCTCTAGTTTTGCTACAAGTGGAACTGTCATGTCCTAGTCCACATCTGACGCACCGTGGTGCATGGTTGCAATTTTTGTAGATGTAAGTAAGGAAACTTTCAATGAGAAAATATTCGATATTACTAAATTATTTTATACAAAGGTTACAATTGAAGAACTTAGAAGGAAGAAACATATACCGCAATGCAACAGATGCCAACAATACGGTCACATAGCAATTAAATCAATGTTTTGAACTTTTAAAAATCGTTGTTAATTTAGAAGTTATGGAGCATTGAAAAAAGTGACTCAAAATACACGTATTTCCTCTTCTATATGACATCCAACTAAAGATTATTTATTTTCTTATTATTATGAATAGTTTTTTGTAGCATATTTATCTTTTTTTTTACTTACTTCATCTTTCTCACATGATTTCGTGAAGTAATATGATCTTGGTTCGTTTTCTTTTCTGTTCTAATTATGCTTGAATTGGCGAATGGTGACAAGTTATTTCATAGTTTGCCTGCATTTCAAATTAATAACTAATCATATATTATTTTTCACTGACAAACATTGAAACTCGCCGCGCTTCTTAATTTTTTTATTCATTCCATCCATAATACAGACTACTGATGGTATGTTTTTATACTGATCCGTTCCTACGTCTTTCTGAGTAACGTAGTCCGCTGCGGGATGCGGTCATGTCGTACACGCGGACAATCCGCCTCCTCTTTGGACAAGCCTTTGCTCATTTATTCTCATTATGTATTGATAATTATTTTTTTCAAGACTATATGTAAACTCAATACTTAATTGTTTTTCTTTCTTTTTTTTCAGGATTCAGCAGAAATGCCGGAGTCGGGGCTTAGGCTTGAAGCGGGTGGTATTATCACGGCAGCCCGGGCTGGACCATGCCATATAGTCGTACCCTCGCTCCAGTCCTGCTCTGGCTCTTGTTCATGCTGACATCCGCGGACAATCAGACCTGCCCCCCCTGGCTCCAGCCTCACGGTCAGGAGGAAGTGGTCAGCAAGTACCTAGAACAGTTCTCGCAGATCCTCATCCGTTTCGATTGCCCCCAGCCCTACTCGGTCAAGTTCCAGTGCCACCAGTGTAAAGTAAGTCTCATCTTCTTATTTAACTATACATATACTTACGCGGGGCGTTAACAAGTAGCTGGAAGAGGTCATTTTATCATAAATTCCACTTTTCTTAGCTATCTTACGAGAGTTTTTTACATTGAACATTGAACTCTTTTTTCTATCATAATCTCCAAGTTTAAAAAAAAAAAAACGTCTAATAGCATCTAATGATCTTTCAAAATACTAGAACTCTTTAGCTCTACAGATTAGAACGCGTTTAAACGTGGAAGGAGAGGCTAAATTCTATTGGAGTGAACGTGATCTATCTTGAAAAAGAATTTTAAGATTATTTCTATAAGAATGTATTGTATAAGTTAATCTGATTTATCGTAACTTAGTCTCCACCAGATTTTAGCACGATACAAATATGGTTCTATAAGGATATTAAATATATATTCTACTACTATCTGTAATAAATCGTGTAAAGCAACTATCAACTTAATTAACTATGCATATATACTTACGCAGGGCGTTATCAAGTAGCTGGAAAGCTGTTTTTAAATTACAACTTTGCTCTTCTTAACAATCTTAGGAGACTTTTAGACATTGAAGTACTACAGTCTCCAATTATTTTACAAAAAAACGGCATCGGACAGTCTAGCGTTCCTCAAAATCGGTCTTGGCCTTGTATTTTGCAAGACCAAGACCAAGAATGGCAAAAACAAATCGTTTTGTGAATAAAAATTAAGGTAAAATAGTTACTAATACATGAAAAGTTTATTTACTAAATGTAAAGAATTCGTATAACCAAATTACGTTTGCATTTAACCCTTCTAATTTTTCCCTTGGGTATAGTTAGGTTTTACCAACTTGAAAAATTACAGTAATATCTCTATAGAAATAAGCTAACATAAAACTGCAAGTCTGATGCAAGACTCTTGTGCAAGAGCAAAACCAAGATTCCACTTGGTCTCGCATTTGGGCAACACTAGGAGAGTCCATTAACGTTTAATAATGCAAAAACCAGAATGCTCTAGCTTCACAGATTATTTCGCGTTTAAATCTGGAAGAATAGACTGCAGTCTATTAGAGTAAACGTGGTCTATCTTGAAAAAGCGCATTTTAGGATATTTCTTCAGGAATGTATAAGTAATTTTGATTTGATTTAACACTTTCGTAATTTTGTCTCCACCAGATTTCAGCTTTATCCTTATATGGATCTATAAGGGTATTAAATATTCTACAACAATAGGTAATAGCCTGTAAAGTAAGTCTTATCTTCGTATTTAATTATTCATATATCCTTAATCAGGGCTTTATCAATTAGCTGAAAAACCTCATCTTATAGTAAAACACTTTCCTTCTTAGCTAACACATTACGAGATTGTTTACACCTGGAACTGTTTGCTCTATTATAGTTTCCAAGTATTTTACAAAAAAAAAAGCATTGAACCGTCCAGAAACGTCTAATAATCTTGTAAAAAAAACGCTCAAGCTGCCCAGATTAGACTGCGTATAAACCTGGAAGGATAAGGCTGAATTATACTGTTGTGAGCGTAACCTAGCTCGAAAAAGAGTTTTATAGGGTATTTCTTTAGGAATGTGTAAGTAAATCTGATTTGAATTAACACTTTTGTAATTTTGTCTCCACCAGATTAAATATTTATTCTACTACTTTGGGTAATAATGCGTGTAATGTAAGTCTTTTCTTCTTATTTAATTATTCATATATCCTTACGCAGGGCGTTTTCAACTAGCTGTAAAGCTCATCTTATAGTAAAACTCTTCTAACGTGAGTTATACAATTTTGATACGCTTGCTCTATTTGACGCCTGGTTTCCAGGGTTGTACTTCTCACATAGTTCTTCGAAGGTTCTTTGAATGGACGGTCCAGTTACATCAAATCGCTTGATTACTAAAAAATATAATTCTCTAGCTATACGGCTTAGATGTAATAAGACTTGGCAGAACGGGCTGAAGTCGTTGTTATTAGCTTACTCTAGCTTCAATACGGTTTTTAGAATTTCTTTAGGAATATATTTTTCGTTTAACTTTTCTTTTTTTATTAAAGAATACCATCTGCCACATCAAAGGAAATCAAGCAACAAGGCTAAATGTTTACATTCATACCTTATATACATATAATAGGAAAATACAAATAAAATAAATATAATAATAAATAAGTAAACTAAAAACAAGTAAATAGAAAAATAGAATAACATACATAAATAACAAATAAGCAAAATGCTAGGAATATATTAGTAGCATATATTTAATCCTCATTTATCTCAACTAGTTTTTAGTTTGATCTAACTACTATTACGTTCTGCGAGTGAGTTAAAATAATATATTCTACTGCTACGGCTAAATTAACTATAACGAGTATAATTAGCGAGTGTTAATATAGATCTATGTTATATGTTATTTAGATTTTCAAAAAAATTATAGTTAATATTATTAAGAAATACGCAATTACTAGCATTACACTCGAAAAGTGAGAGCGGATCGAATAAGAGATACTGTGATGGCCAATGAATTTAAAAATCTAGCTATTATTATGTTATTCGAGCTGCTGGTTACATATTGATTATCGGTACTTATGTACAACACGGCTAACAACATGGAAGTTGGCTAAAAACTTACATTGTACATGTAGTCCTGAACTGATTCATTTATACTTTTCAATATTTATTATTTTTAATTATTTAAAAACTTTATTCATTTTTTCACCTTTCTGATGATGATGATCTCAGTTAAACTCAATAGCCTAAGAGGAAAAAAATAGAGTAAATAAAAAAGTTAATGACTTTTAAGAATGGATGGATCAAGATGGAGGTTCTACGAGACATAAAAAGAAGAATGATTAATGTTTCGGTGGAAAGAGGAAGTAAAGAAAAATAAATAAAAAAATATTTAAAATAAAAAAAATCAATCGAACTCTTGATCTGATTCCTCCTTCTAAAAATAATAAATTATCGTGGAAGTTTTGTGTTTATTAAACTATATAAATAAAAATGCCCCATCACCATTACGTACTAAAAAAGTAGATCACCTAATAAGGTACCATTTGTATGAGGTTCTCCCCTCAAAACAATTTAATATTAAATAAAATATAAAAATTAAGTACTAATAATATTAGTTTATAACAAAGAGGCAACACAACCATCCAGCCAATATCAAATATATTTGAAGCCGATCCTAGCAAATGAAAATTAATTTTAATGTTCGATTTAATTTTCATTTGGCCATGAGCCACCATAATTCAAAGTGCCTAGAGTTTGTGATTAGCAAGAACAATAAATGGTGATTTTTCTCCCTTTTTTCATAACATATTTATTTGTACTTCTCATGGATGTGGCAATAAGCTGTAGTTGAATTTGGTCTTGGTATTTCATGGATATAGATATGGAGGAGATAGTTCCCAGCAGCACATCTTCTCAGTTTCGTTGAGTTCCTTAATACAGGAAAAGAGATCTGTCATATAGCTCCTTTTCATTCGCTTTTTGATAGGTATCCCAGCTGATAATCTTGATAAGATGTTAGCTGAAAAAAAATCTGGAGTATCAAGCTCTTGATAAGGAACTGACACAGTTATATAGACTTGATAAAATGCAGATTTGACATTGGTCATTTCTGCTAACGGTATGACCTCGCCTACGACGATGAAGTCCACGAAGGACTTGAACCTCACAATGAATTTTTCGGAACTATTGCAGAAAGAGGTGTTACTCAGAACTGCGAGCATTGTTAGACAATTTTTTAATATCACAGAATAAACATAAATATATTAGTCTTACAAGTGACTTAGGTCCCGCATATGTTCTTTTACCGGCAAATGCTAAGAAACAAGGAATTTTCCAAAATGAATAATATAACTAAAATATTAAACAAAAAACGTTCCTTCGCAAAGAGCTTTGCGAGGAATTTAGGCGAATAGTAGTATTCAGCAATAGTTTTATTCTTGAAGAAAATATTAAATCGATGAAAATAATTGAAAGAAGCAGAGAAATTCAGGAAAGCAGTAATGCTGGCTAGGAACCGCCAACATTGTCAGAAAACATTTTAATATTTTAAATTAATTATCCAATAGACCATATCAGCTTAACCAAATTCCGGGATAGCGAATTAGTCCACCATCAAGCCGAGAAGTGAAAAATAAAATAAATAATAATTGACTGAATTATTTGGCACTTTAAGTTATTAAATACCAAGGCTAACGATTTAAATTCACTATTACTTAAAGTATAACTAAAAAAAAAAAATTTTTTTTCCTTGAGAACACGTATGACTATTTAACCATATATAAAAATAATAATTTAAATTAAATTTTAATGTGTCTTATATCCTTAAATTTAATGACTTGTATGCAAGGGTGTAGTTCTGCAAACCAGCACGACTTAACTGCAAGGCGAAATGGTTGGCTTTTAAGGAGCAGTTAGATCACAGATTTTGATGATTTTTGCCAAAATTCATCAATTTTCAATCAAATTACTCGTTATAATTATTCCAACTGACCTCGACCTTTCTGTTTTGTACGTGATAAACCTACGTTATTTTCATTCTTTATTGTTAAAGAACAATATTTTAAAAAATAGCATGTAAAATTTGTTTTAACAATATCAATTAACATAATATAAACTCATTTATCAACTATTATGAAAAAAAAAATGAGCAATCTAATAAACTGGTACAGGTACTGGTGGGTGGCAAGTGGGCTATATGGTCCTTGAGGTTTCCGCCCCGTACTTACCAAAGTGGGAATGATTCATTTCCCGTATACGCCGAGAAATGAAAATTAACCGACCCACGTAGAAATCGAACCTACAACGTTCATAATCGCAATCGTTAGAAAGCAGAGAATTTTAAAAAAAGAAAAAAACAATATATAATATTGAAAGTTGTAGAAGGTAACGGAAAGTGACAAAACCATATAAATAATAATTTCTAAAAACTAACATTATTTAACGTAAATCAGGTGTTTTCAATGAAATCAAATGAAATTTTCTTACTAAATGTAAACTTTTTCGAAAATTAAATGAGTGAATAATTTGGTGAATTTTCTCTTTGCGATTTTCCAATAATATACCCTTACAATTAGTGCGACAACTTTTGATCTGTCTATGACAGACTGTACAAATCTCATAATTCCGTTTTAATAAACTTTGCAATGAAAAATAACAGTTTGATAACTAATAGTCGTCCGATACATAATCAACGGATCGTACAATCCTAATCGACCGATGATATTTTAATGGTATTTATGATTTGTTAGCTGTAATCGTTTAGCTTTAGCTCGGTTAAAAATGCAGTTCAAAAATTTTATAATAGCCCAATATGGCCATAAAATAATTTCTATTCAAAGTTGTGTGTTGTGCGGCAAGTAAAAGTTGTGTGTTGCGCGCACCACATGTTCTCTTTAGATTTCATATCGTTCGTTTAGGATTTTATTAGGGTTTACCTAACTGCGGACTTTAAATTTATTCTTCGCTATTCTAAATGCGACAAAAACCAACTTTTAGCATCGAATAATTAATCAAATAGATTCACAGAGAAATAAATTTACTTCGTATTTTCAGTAGTGATCATAAGATTTTAAAATGCTAATGGACATTCCTAACATGGTTTTATTCGTAATTATGAATCATTCTCAGCCAACTATCCTATGTTAGTATAAGTTCCTAAGCTAATTTGTTTTTTCTTTCTGTTGATATGTATGATTATAATATTACGTAATTATTACATAGAATTAATTTAAGTTATTATTCTCTAGAAAAGTATACCGGACAATTATTTTTTTAACTCCATTTCTTCATCCACACCTATCATAAGCAATGACAATTATCTAACTAGACAATATTGAGATCTAATTTTAAGATTAATTAATAAGCGAATAAATCATATAAGATAACGACGATGCAATTCTTTGCACAACTTCTTCATACCCCCTAGTTATCCATCTACCACAAAACTTATTTATAAACGCGACCTCCCAAGACGAAAGCTGCTGCCATAAATATGCAGTGACACCGATATCGAAATGCCTCAGCTCCAGGAACCTTCCGATGAAATGGTTATTTCGGAAAAGGGCGCCGTAACAGCTCCGATGCACGTGGCCACGTCACGTTACTGCACCTCAGGCACGTCTCACATTGCAAGGTCCCACCGCTCTGTACACTGCTATATTGCCAATAACCCTGCTCTAACAAACTTTAAGATTTATTGCTATAATAACAACTTCAAATACATCTTTATTTTTTAATATAAACTTGTACAATCACATAATTTGCGTTTATAATTTAATACTTTATTTATTACTAAATTCATGAATGAAGAATTTCAAATGGACAGTCGTATTATTACATATTAAAACTTCCGGATTAACATTTGCTTAAAAGAGATTTTAAAATATTTTACTGCATATATTTCTCAATATTTTTCTGCTAAATATTTCCTCTTGCCTACAGTTGACCAACACATAAGAACTCTTTACAAACGATTTTACAATAATTTACACGGACATACTAACAAACTAATCAGAGATATGCCTTCAGCTGACATGCCCATCAATATGAAGAGGAGATTAAAAGGCGCTGGATGAGAGACATCCTTCATTGACAAACCATGGTAATTGATTCAAGCCAGAGAAGGGTACTGCTGGGTGCTATCCTTTCCCATGCACGGACTTGTCAGTTTTATTTCTTTAATCGGACAATCTGCTGATTGTCAACAGTTGTCGACAGGTGTGGGCGGGGTGGCCGGCAACCTGATATATGTTTCAAATGATACATCTCAGACTAAGACTATTATACTCAATTCTTTCAAGACGCTCAAAATTAAAAAAGGAACTAAAAAACTAAATTTATTTTTAAAAACCTTTATGGACATACGCTACTCAAATATGCGGAACAACCAAAACGACCCCCATACGAGATCTACAAACCTTTTAGTCAAAAATCTTTGGAACTATAAATAAAGCTCCTTGGTGCGTCATAAACATTACTTTACATAAAGATCTAAATATATGCCAACAGTTAACGGCCATATACGGACACACTACAAAATATTTCACGATAACTTACATGGACATATTAACACACTAATACAAGATAAGGACACCTCCATCCACCTGAAATTTCGTAAAATCGTTCTTAGAATTGGGGCGTTTTCAATCGGGAGATCGACAAACATGTGATTGTTCATTTGCTTTTCACTTTAATCGTAAGATAATTGAGAAAAAAATTCGAGGAAAAAGGTGGCCTTCAAAATATTGAGCAGTTTGGCATGACCTACAACTCGAAAATATAGAAATAACGAAGTTAGATAGGCCAAACGGCCTAGTATTTTTATAGAGCACCATTTTTCTTTTGATTAAATTATCTTACGATCCAAGTGAGAAGTAAATGGGTATTTACGAGTTTTCAGTACCAAATTAAATAGACGAAGATTGCCGATCTCTAGATTGAAAACGTCTCAATTCGAAGAACTTTCGTAAATAAAATAGTTGTAGGTTACGATCAGATGAATCTGTTCAGGAAGTTTCAGGCGGATGTAAATAATTTAATAAAAAGCGGTTTGTACTAAGGACTAACAACCTACAAAATGATTGTTTGGTATAATTAACAATTCAAGAATCTCCCTTGCCGGATGAGGAAAAATCTGAACTCTTCGCTTACCACCTTTCTTCTGTATTTAAACCGTTTACCAACTTCATTAACACAGAACATGAGACTCTAGTACCTAACACATTAGATATCCCACTTCAGCTGACACTACCACCTCCTTCTTTTACTCCATCTCAGGTTGCACTTCAAATCAAACAATAAACAAAAAGAAAAGCTCCTGGTTATGACTTAATAACAGCCGAAGCACTCCAACAAATGCCCAAGAATGCTCTAGTATTTCTGACAACAATTTACACCTGTAAAAATATAACGGCCATTTATCAAAGATTTTACACAAATTTAAATGGACATAATAACAAACTAATAAGAGACATGGCCCCACAGCTGACATACCTCAGAACACGAGGAGACTAAAAATGACGTCTCCTTCCTCTATTTCCTTCTTTAAACAATCTAAGTAATTGGAGCAAGTTAGGGAAGAGATACTGCTGAATAATTTCCTTCCCCATGCCTTTCATGTCATTATTTCAGGTATCGCCATCACATTTGCTGATTGTCAACAATAAGTTGACAGGCGCAAATACATTTTTCATAGACCAAAAAAAAAAACAATCTCCCTAAATCATTCTCTAAAGTAACAATGTACATGTCCAAAAAATTTCACCCTAGCCAAATTATATTTACCGTAATATTCCCATTAGCTCAGCTTCCTCTGTTATTAAAAGTTTCCATTGTATTGTAAAGTTTGCCAGAGCAAGTTTTATCGTATACCCGAGCTGGAATAGTACCTCCAACTTTTCCGCAACCACACCGGTTACTTTACAGTTACCTCCTTAGCATTTACTTTCTTCCGAGAATTACAGCTACTGTGGAGCGTATCTTTTTACTCCGGATTTGAAAACAAGATACGATATTTACTGGCCTTCAAATACTCTAGTCTCTGGCTTCTATTTTTTATTTTAATTAGTAATATATACAAATTTAGTAGGAAGTCATATTAATTTTATTTATATTAGTAATACATGCCGGTTGCAACAAAACCCATCTTCAGAATCATTATTTACTTATAATTTTAAATTAAGCCATCATACATTGAATATATCCAAAAGGCTAGGGTTGCTAGGAATAGAATAATATGTCATTTATTGAATCATGATTTAATTGAATTGACTTGAAAGATGATTCATCTTTGTAATTTAAAATAAGAAGTAAATAATGGTTCTGAAGATGGAAATTGCTTCCAACAACAAGATGTATCACTAATAAAATACATAATGACAGAATGGAGATTATTTGAAATACCAAGTATCTTAAATATTATTTTAATTATTTATTTATAATTATATTTATGCTTATTACAATACAACCCAGATTATGTTAGAACATGAAATAAAAGCCTTTCAACAGTTAATTGTAGCAATTTTTGCTGAAAATAAGGGTACATTTAGGTGACAGTGAAAAAAATCACATCATTTTTTTACACAACTTCAGGTGTACTTCAAGAGTTTGCCTGATTAATCTCAACTTGATTAATATGAACTTAAAGGTTAATAAAAGAAGATGTTTTTCTGTAGTATAGTTGGATGATGAAAAAAGTTCGCGAATAATTTATGATTTTTTAAATAACAAAACTTAGTTTAGTTTATCCTCTCAAAAGTCCTCTTTAAATAGTTTTAAAAATAAGAAACTATGAAGAATTTCATAAGCGGTCTTACGACTAACGATGGAAGCATACCAGGAAGATGCCAAAACATGGAGAGGTGTTAGCACCCCTTCGAAGGGAAGATAGTTCTTAGGCCGTTTTGGATGAGGAAAAATCTGAACTCTTCGCTAATCATCATTCTTCTGTATTTAAACCATCTACTGATTTCACAAAGATTGAACGTTAAACACAAACGCGAACCTCATGCTAAACACCTTAGACATTCCGCTGCAACTTACACTACCAGCTCCTTCGTTCATTCAAGCACTTCAAATCATGCATTTAACAAAAAGGAAAGTCCAGGGATCACTTTAAACTGAAGTACATAGTTCTTGATTCTTTCCTTTTCGATAGATTTTTCTCAGTTCGGCAGAGTTCAGAAATTTCATCTATTCGTCCAGACTCACAGCGGGAGTGCCCCATGGTTCAGTAATGGCTCCACTACTATAAATTGTATACACGTGGTACATACCTATGCCGATGACACAGCGATTCTCACATAACATCATGAGCCTACACAAGCTTCACTAACGTCATTTAGATAAATTACAAGACTAGTACAAATTATGGATAATTCGACTAAACCACGATAAATCTAAACACATTATATTTACACTTCATAGAAATGCCTGCCCTCCAATTTATATCGAAAACAACCAAATTCCTCAGGCGGATACCGTATATTATATTCCTTACCTTTGACGGAAGGAGGACATGGGGTCCACATGTCAAAATGAAACATAAGACCCTCAATAGACGACTCAAACTACTTTAATCACTTTTTTTCAAATCCTCAAAAATAGAACTGAGACAGAAACTAAATACATACTTAAACCAATATGTACTTACTCTTCACAGATATACGGTATAGATAAAAAGACACTCTTACACAAATATCTAATTTTCCAACCAAAAATATTATGACTTATAACTAAAGCACCTTGGTACATGACAAAGTAAAAAAGTGAACTATTTGTTAATTAGTTAAATTAAATATTTCTTTAGTTATCGCTTCCTATTCAACAAAATAAACAACTTACTTAAAAAACACAAACTTTTGATATCCTAATTTTCTGCTGAATTAATTAATTAAACGTTTTATACTATATATATATATATATATATATATATATATATATATATATATATATATATATATATATATATATAAATTTTCAAATAATATTATATACAACATATGACCATATAAATAACGTAACAAAGAGACTAAAACAAAATAAAAAAACATTAAAAGATGGGGAAATCTATTGGGACGAATTAGCTCCATCTAAAATAAATTAATATAAAAAAACTATATGTTTTGAACTAATGATAATGCATTAAATATAAAAATATAATAAACTTTACAAGCTGTAAATAAGATATAAAATCTTCATATATGAAATATTTTAGTGCCGGATGTAAAGAATCAATACCTGAGCTTAGAGCATAATTTTGTTACATTCGTTCTAATAAAATTTTACTTAAATATATATATTTATATTCTTATCTTTATATGACATTGTTTGATTGTTGAATTAGACATCTTATCATTTTAAATAAATGATAAAACTCTTCAGAAACTTTAAAGGTCCACTTTGAGATGCAACATACTACTTATGATATTATACTACTTATGGACTACAGCAGTGCGTGTTGGCTTACGGCATGAGAACAACTAACAAGAATTTTTCACGGTCAGTGAGTAACTGATTCCAGCTATATGATTTCGGTGATTCTGCTTCGAAGTATATTGAACGTATTCCACTGGGTTCCTTCCGATAGACCTTAGGAGCCGAGAAACTATTATATTTCAGCAAAAAAATTATATTATAGTAGTTTATCTTCACTCTGCTAAAATTATCCTATTATTGCGTGTGAATATAAAATAAGAAAAACGTCTGACTGATAATATTAAATGAGTTCTATTATATT